GTTAGAGTAGTATGCAGCATTAATGGAACGTTGTGTGCGCAGGAAGTCAACGTACAGTACTCCCCGCTGGGCGAATGTTGTCTGGTGTGATGCTGGTTCGCAGTCGACGATCATGCGGCTCATTCTCGACGGTTTCGCGGCCATCTTTGAACGCCTTGGCCCATTTAAACACAGCAGACCTACTCAGGGACTCACTACCGAACTGATTTCGCAAACGCGAAGAATTTCCGTGTTTTTAACGCCTTCCCACACCAAAAAACGAATGACAATACGTTGCGCAACGGCGGTCGGCACTTGACGTTCACTCATGGTCGTATCACGCGCGTGAAACGTGCGTTCGCGACGAAAACTATGCCACACTGTTCGTAAGGGACCCAGCTATCACATACTCAAGCCGCGACCTTCAAAACATACAGGCGCGCCATCTACAGCGTTTGTCTCGATCATATTTGAACCGCCCTCGTACAATTCGATTCTCGCCGGCGCGGCGATAACAGAGATCCGGGGCTTAAACAGCGAGTTCCAAGAAAATCGCAAAGATCGAGCCGGCCGGCATCTCTCACGCCACCGGACGCAAGAAAATATAAAAAAAACGGCGACACGCGCATCTCGGTTTTTTCCTCCGCCCGCCATTACGCGTCATTGTGCCGTTTCCACGTACGTCGGAGTTTTTTTTCTCGCGAAGGAGAGAACTCTCTCGCCGCGGAATCGTCGTCCGTCACGCTCGCGCGTGCGAAGGCTGGCGGCAGAAAACGATCCGTAAACGCTTACGTTCGCCTTAGTCGTGGACGTATTACGTAGACGTATACGACGGTTTTACTCGAGGAGGAAACCGCCGAGCAAAATCTTGTACACCAATGCCCAGTGGGCATTACTTTATCTTATTATCTTATTTTATCTTATTTTATCTTATTTATCTTGTTTTATCGCATTTCATCTTATTTTGTTTTATTTTATCTTTATAATGCCCAAACTAATGCCCAAAAAATGCCTAGTAATGCCTAGTAATGCGCAGTAATGCTGCAAATCTGTACACCGCAATGCCCTCAGCGGTTTCCCCCTCGGTTTTACTCGAGGAGGAAACCGCTGATCAAAATCTTGTACACCAATGCCTACTAATGCCCAGTGGGCATTACTTAATCTTATTATCTTATTTTATCCTATTTATCTTGTGTTATCTTATTCTATCTTATTTCTCTTATTTCATCTTATTTTATCTTTATAATGCAAGGCCTAAGGCCCAAATTAATGCCCAAAAAATTCTAGGTAATGCCCAGTAATGCCGCAAATCTGTACAGCACAATGCCCTCGGCGGTTTCCCCCTCGATTTCACTGCTTAAATTTTTTCGTGTGTTCGGGCCTTCAGTCTGTCCTTAGTCGTGAACGTAGGGCAAGACGGAGAAAAACTTCAGCCCTTAACAGAGAATTACGAAACGAGCTGCGACACATCTCTCTATCTCTCTCTCTCTCGGCGCTCCTCGACGCGCGCGCGACGCCGCGAAAGGGTGTAACGACTCGCGCCGCGCGTCGATCTGCTGATTTCGGTACACGTGACGAGACGACGACGACGACGCCGGCATCGGCGGCGTCCCGCGACCTGCGACTCCGGCCGTTTATCGCGAGTCCGCCAGCATTTTTATTGCGTATCGATCTTTCGTATCACGTTTACCCGCGTAAACAACGCGCGTCCGGCTTTTAAATCGCTCGATTTAGGCGGACACGTGGGCCCCGCGAGCGCCTAGTCACATTTATATCCCGCCGCCACGTTAATTATTCGCGCTGTAACGCCGCGTGTCTGCGTTACATTGTTTACTACCCAGAGTGCACGGAGAGCTTTCCGTCACTCGCGGGGAAACATTTATATTTAACAAATTAATAAAATTCGCATGGCTCAAATGCGATAAACACAAAGTTGAAGGAATAAAGGGCTAAGTTATATAAAAGATTCATATTTAATCCGTTCTACGGAAATTCGGGGAGACGTGCAGTTTCTCCCACCGCGCATATTCATTGTCCCTTCTATCTATTTCGCGGCGACAATTAGTGTCGCTAATAATAGCATTCGGCAGTTTGCAGGCTCAAATTTTTGTTGCACGGCAGGCCCGCGTTCGATCTCTCGCCGGGCCGATGACGTAACGCAACGCAAGCGTTCGGCGCGACAGGCTTAGCCGCCTCGCTCCCGGCGAGCCGAGTCCCCCTCGCGGAGAAGAGGCTCGGCCGGTCCTGGCGAGAGGATCACTTCCGGACGCGTTCGCGCGCACGTGGGCGACTTACCTCTCGTATTTCACCTGCATCGAGTGCGCGGAGGTGTCCTCCCAATAATTCTGCGTCTCCATCATCCTGCCGCATAGAACACGGCGGTGGGTGCCGCTCACGCGCTTCCGCACTTCCCTGCGACGACCGCTTCCTCTCCCCTTCGCTCCGCGGAGCGTTATCGTCGATCCCGCGAGAATCGGCTCGCGCGCTCGCTCACTCGCACGCGCGCGCGCGCGCGTCACGTGACGGTATCACGAGCGAGATACGTACCGCGGCCGGAAAGTTTCTCTTCCTCTCCGCTCCGGAGATCGAGGGGCTCTCCGAAGGACTGAAGTCCGGCGCGCGTCCTCTGGATGGATCGATCGATCGATAGGATCGCGCCGCCGGCGCGTATAGGGGGGAAGCACGGAAGTACGCACGCACACACGGGGCACGGCACGGCACACGGCACACGACACGGGCACGACACGGGCACGGCACGGCACGGCACGAACGCGACAAGCGCCACGAACGGCAAGAGATGTACGGCGCGCGGGATTAGGTTAGTTTCGCGTCCGCGGGCTCACTGACACAACTCGCGCGGCGACGTGACGTCGAGAGAGGCGGCCGGCGGACGCACGGGAACACTTCGCCCACGACACTCTGCCGCTCCGAGTCCAACCAGCCTCGCGGCCGCGCGCGCGGTACCCGTGCTGGCGCCCTCTTTCTCCTGCCCCCACCCTCCCGCCGCCGTTCTCTCTCTCTCTCTCTCTCTCTTCCTCCCTCCCCTCCCTCTTCCTTTTTTTCACCGGTCTCGATTCGCGCCTCGTTTTTGTCACGGGCGATCGCGCCGCCCGGCGATCGAAGATTCACGCGACTCTCGCACCGCTCTCCTCTCTCCCCGCCGGCGGCGATTCACCCAGTATACACCGCCGTAGTAATTTCGACGTGTCTCAGCCCCGAGTCACGCTCCTCCGTACCCCTCTGCCTCCTCGGCCCCTCGTCGCCGACGAAGGTATGCGGACGGATTATCAATTTTCCCGGCAAGTTTCGTCGCCGGTCGTCCTCCACGGTTTGGTCCCTCGCTCCGCCGCTCTCAGGTTCTCAGGTCACTCCCGCGGACGCGCCGTGGGAGACGATCCGCTTCTTCCGGGCAGACGACGACGTGTCCTCGCGCGTGTAGCACCGTCCGAAGGATCCACGCGCCCGAGCGTGGCGCCGACGGCGCGCACGGAAAGTGACGACGCTGATAAGGCCGTTGACTCGCGACCGCGAAATTCCGCGATACCCCGGCCAGGAGCGTAATCCGACCACCGCGCCCCGGGCCGCCGAACCACGTCGCTCGCGCGCCAAGACTTGGCGATCTCGAGACGCGCCTCCCCCCTCCCCCGCGGCTGCTTCTTCCCCTCTCGCCCACGCCGGCCAAAAGGAACTCGACGGATTCGCGCCGGGGGGCACCTGCGCGGCACCCCGTGATCGATCGATCGACCGGTCGGATCGAGCGCGCGATCTACCCCGAATCGAACGGCGAACTCGCGACGACGACGGTACGCGGGCGCGTGTCGTCACCTCGGCGGGGTTACGTGTAGTCGCGCGCGTCGCCCCTGTCCGCGACGCTCTCGCGATGAATCGCCGGAGCCCGGTGGGAGCGAATCCGGAGCCCCCGTCAGGTGCGGCTGCGACGCTCCGGAGTCGGGCGTTCCGCCTCCACGAGGCGGACGTCGGCCGTTCCTGTCGCGAAACAGCAACGTACTCTCCGAGGTCCAGGGGTTTTTTCCCTCGATTCTTGAATTCATTCCGAGGAGAAACGTATACGAAAATTCTACACTGACAGAAAAGTTGATTGAAAGTTGACGAATGACCAATCGACGCGCAACTTTTCTGTAAGAGCAGAATACCCGCATACATTTCTTCTTGGAATAAATTCGAGAATCGGGCCCCAGGGGCTTATAACTGTAAAGTGACCGCTCTCAAACCCTCGGAAAGGATTTCTGTTACCGAGACACAAAATATTCTTGACGCGTTTATATTTCTCACAACCTCATTCAGTAGAAAAATAAGACAATGTCCAAATATAAAATCAATAATTCTGATTCTCCTCTATTGAATTAAAAAAGGATTGAGTTACTACATTGAGACAAGAGTAACTTGTATAAATGTAAGTTTATATACTCTTGCGTTTAGAATAAATTTTCCCACCACTTCTTACAACAAAATTCGACACCGCGATATTCGACAAAAGACTATCATTTTATTCCAGATTTTAAAATTGTTCACTTAAGATTAAAATATTCCTTTCTCTGTAATAAGACGCACTTATATTTTTTACAACTTCATTCAGTATAAAAATAAGATAATATCAAAATGAAATCCATAATTCTTATTCTCCTCTATCGAATTAAAAAAGATTGACTTACTATATTGACAAGAGTAACTTGTATAAATGTAAGTTTAGATATTCTTGCGTTTAGAATAAATTTTCCCTCCATCTTGGCAACACGATATTCGACAAAGGACGATACATACTGTAATTTTATTCTAGATTTTACAATTGTTCATTTAAGATTAAAATATTCCCTTTTCTATAATAAATAGGTTTGGCGCTATATCGATCCTATTTTATGATAGATTCAAGCGTAATAGCATTGGATCCGGAAATTTTTTCTGTGGGTGCGGTTTCACCAAACGTCGTGTAACTCCACTAGTAACTTTACTAGTACAGTAGTTCAATTCGTGTTCGTCTCTTTCTAGAGAAACAGTTGGAAAGAGGCAAAGAATGAATTACGCCTGATCTACGATGTGCCCTTTGCGTCTACAAACAATCGGTTTTATACAAGCAAAACGCTTTAAAAAATTCCTCGACCACGTACGATCGTACACCGTCGTGATGTGCAATTTATCAACTTGCACAAATTTTTTAAACGTACTCATTGGCTACAAAATACACAGAATGTTTCTAGACGCAAAGAGCACATTGTAGATTGGGCTTCAAGCTTAAGTTAAGCGACATTGGTGAAACCGGGCATCAGTGATAATTTACTGGCTGATTTTTAGAGAGTAATTAAACTCGTTTTCTATCGCCGCACTCTGGTGAATTAGTGCAGTAAGTTGGAACGAGAAAGAATACGCACTTGTCTTACTCCAACTTGTCGCACCAGTGCGGTAATGGAAAACAAGCCTATTGTGAATTCAAGCAATAATTCGTACACCCACAGAAAAAATGTCCGGATCCAATGCAATTACACTTGAATGTATCATAAAATAGGATCGATATAGCGCCAATCATATTTATTATAGAGAAATGAATATTTTAACCTTAAATAAAAAATTCTAAAATCTAGAAGAAAATGATAGTATGTGTCGTCTTTTGTCGAATATCGTCGCGCCGACTTCGTGCGTTGTAAGATGGAGGGAAAATTTATTCTAAACGCAAGAATATATAAAGTTGCTCTTGTCTCGATATAGCAGGTCAATATTTTTTTATTCGATAGAGGAGAATAAGAATTATTGATTTTATTTGGATTTTGTCCTCGGTAACAGAAATCCTTTCTAAAGCCTATCACACAATGGGAAAGCACAGGGAATAGGAATAGGGAATAACACAGGCAATATAGAAAAAACAACACAGAAATAACTAAATTCCAACTTACCAGAAACCGTGCATCGACGCACAATGGAATATGGAATAGGCAATAGGAACAGAATTTCCGACGCGTTGGATTTCTGTTCCCTATTCCCTGTGCCTGACCTACCTGACCAATCACAGTGGAGACTGGGACAGACACGTGGTTTTAAAATGCAGATGATTGGACAGCACGCCTATTGCCAACGAATCATTGTGTCTTGGCATTACATAGATTTCTATTCCCTATTCCTATTCCCTATTCCTATTGCCTGTGCTTTCCTATTGTGTGATAGGCTTAAGGGTGCAATTGTAGGATTAACTTAAATGCTATTCGTGTAAAATTCATCTACTCGCGTATAAGAATGAACGTACGTCAGGTTCGATATCGAAGTGTGAAGCGACGTGAGATATTACGTCGGTAATTCTCGGCTCTCGAGACTTGAAGAGCCTCGATAAAATCTACAATTGGTCAACCTGGGATTTCTCACATCCTTAGATAACCGAGATAACGTTTATCGATGCTAGAGAAATCTGATATTAGTATTAACGAAAGCTAGCGATAATCGACACCGGCGAGATACGTTGCCTCGCGGAGCATCGGTGAATCGCCGTCAAGAATTCTAATACCGGAGCGTTTTGTTTATAACGGACGTGTTTATCAACTGATCTGCGAACGGAGAATAGGCATTCGTTCGCGAGTGAAATCGGGTATCAATGAAACCTGTGCGAATCGCAAACACGAGTCCGGGGGCTCGATTCTCGAATTCATTCGAAAGAGAAAACGTACGCGGAAATTCTGCTCCCGCGGAAAAGTGTTGACGAATCTCAGCGAGAAGTTATTTGTCGAGTGAAACAATGTCGAATCGATGTCGACTTAACGATTTCGACGTACACTTCTCGCTGGGATAGCCAATTACCTCGCAACTTTTCTGCAAGAGCACAATTTTCGCGTATACGTTTCTCCCGCGGATGAATTCTAGACTCGAGAGTAACATATTTCCTCGCTGTCCTCGCGCTCGTAACCACGCGTGATTTCTTTGTTATTCGCCGTGAGATACATTTTGCCATACTGGAGCCGTTTCGGATCCAGGTGCCATTAAGGAAAGGAAGGAGGAAAAAAGTCGTGAGATACAATAATTAAACGAGATCGCGTGCAATGCCGGACGATCGCGAGCTGCTCCGGCGCCGGGGGAGGAGGGAATCATGTAATGTTACACGCTTCGTGAAACGATATCAGGGAATTGTTAGATATACGAGAGATATTACTCATCGGCGCATGCATATACGATGACGGCGCGTTCGTGGGACCGCGATAAGGTCGGAGCGTTCTCGACACATCACGTGTTGTGATAATTGTACGATATACGGTATCTGAAAATAGTTTCGACGGAATGCGCGCGCGCGCACGTACGCGCACACGTGCAAACCGTCAAAACAAAAACAAACATCGCGAAACACGGCAGAGTCGTATCGCATCGCGATAGCCGATGGTCGAGGGATCGAAGCAGGGGCCCCACGTGCGAACGCTTGTCTTTGTCGCGAACACTCGTTTAGGCCCGGTCTACAATGAGTCGTTAGTCGTTAGTCAGAAGTCGCAACTATATGTTGATCCTTTTCCTTTCTGGGTGGAAGAAAAAGGACCGACATATAGTTCCGACTTCTGACTAACGACTAACAACTCATTGTAGACCGGGCCTTACGGATCGCCGATCGACAAATTGAGGAAAAAAGAAAGGAATGAAGCAATTAATGAGACATTGTGATTTCTGCGAAGGAGCGCGCGTTGATTTGATACCGCGAGCTATTATTCGCGCGTTTGATCTGCGCGACTCACGGGATGACTCACAATCGGATCGAAGTGTAGATGGTGATAACACGAGATGACATAACAACGGCTGGTAGTGAGAGGTCTCTTTCACTCGGACCTCAAAAGCACGCACGGGGAGAATTTTCTCTCAAACTTTAGCCTTTACTTTGGTAAAATGTAAGAAAACTGCGTTACGTCCGAAAAGAAACCGGCGCGCGGGACAAAATGTGGAAAGAAACGGTATATGAATTCGCATTTTAATGAATTAC